TGTTACGGGATACTTGAGCTTTCAGGCATTTTGCTCTTTGGAAGATTAATGACAGGGATATAAAACTGATGGGCTTTGCAAACAGGAGTGCATGTGTCTGAATGGTAAGGGGAGGGAATGGATCTCTGATAGAGTAAATCTGAAGATTTCCAACCTTGACAAAAATACCTATATAACTTATTGCTTATATCACTTTGCTTAATTCATGCTACTACATTCCACTGATTTCAACTTTGCTTTTAAAGAAGGAGAATGAGTGCAAGGAAAAGTTTCATTATCTATCTAGAAGAAAGATAGCTGCAAAATGCTTAAACAGGAAAATACAAAATAACAAGTACATCTTTCAAAGTGTGGGGTGGGTTTTTTTGTTTTTTTTTCCTAATTCAGGATCTTGCAAATTAAATCAGGTTAAAAAAAAAAACTCAAAACAAACCCAAACAAAAAAACCACCACCAACAAAAAACCCAATCAGGTCTGGAAATCAAATTCCTGTTACGCAATGTAACGTTCTCCTATTTATTCCTCACTCTTTTTCAGGCAGTTACCGAGGATTGTTTAAAAAAAAAAAAAAAAGCTTCATGTGTCTGTCATTCTTTTTTCCTCCCTTCTCTGTTTTTGCTATTAAGTCACTGTTGCCCTTTGTTCTTTGAGCAGCAGTAGTCTGGACAGCTTGGAGTAGCAGTTTCATATGTTAAACTTTCCTATTAAATGGCTTGTAACAACATATAACGATGGATCAATCCTAAAGGTATGCAGCCTGAGGGGTTTTTTGTTTCTTATGGATACTTCAATGGTGTCCTGACCATGCCTTAATACTGTTGTGCAAGCAATTAAATTACCTGACTTCATTCCTGGACTCTTGGTCTCTCTTTCTTCATTCAGTATTTTTTAATCTCTGGTTATAACTGCCCTAGATGCAGAGTAACCTCTCCACCAGATACCTCTTGATCATGTTTGAAGGCACCATATTGTAACACTTAAGCCTTTGGCTAACTTCTTCTTGGGCATCTTTTATCAAGTGCTGAGTCTTCTGAGCTGTATCCTACATGCAGGATATGGGTGCACCGCTATTATCTTTATTGCTAACGCCCACAGCACAGGCTGGGACAAACATGCTATGAGGCATCGGTCTACTCTCCCACCCCGTCACAGCCACCCAGCAGGTCTGCTGGCCACATTGTCACTCAGGTGGGGAAGTGCTAGTCTCTGCCGTTCTTCTCAGTGGGCCGATACTTGATGTTGCTGAGCCACTGTCTTACTCCTCTCTGCTTCTTCTTTGTCTTGTCATATCAGGACTTTGTTTTTTGTGAACCATTGCTGAATTCATTTCTTTGTTATAAACCACTGCTAACTGGTATCAGCTCAGCAATCTTGCTGTGTTCTGGCTTTGTTTTTACTTTATCTTGCAGGCTCTCATAGCCTACATGCGGTGATAACTACAGCTCATCGTATTTCCCTTAGTGAAACGGGCTTGTGGATCACAATATTTTCTTGTTCTTATCTTGCAAGTTCAGGATATGTGCTGGTTATGAAAGACAGACTAGAACACTTTCTGGCAGTAAAAGTCTGCATCACCTGCTTGGTCTAAACATTGACACCATGAAAAGAAGCACTCTTTACAACTTTTGCTGTTTGATCCCACCATGCAGTATAGAGACACGTGGAAGACATAGTCTTCCACCAAAATAAATGGTGTTACTTTTGGAGAGAACCATCCAGTACTGAATTTTTGGCCAAAGAAGCTTTGATATTTTTAGAAGAAATCCTGTTAGGTAGTATGGAATAATAAATGAATTGACTCAGTTGTACAGGGAGATCTGCTCAACACAGGCTGGTTAAAAGGAAAGGTAAGAGGAAGGAACAATTCAGCAGAAATTTTGGTGCTAAGATTCTACTAAATTTAATGAAACCTCGATGTGCTCAGCTCTCGGGTGGCTTTGGGAATTCTTCAGCCTTCAAGATCAGACTGACCTTCAGAACAGGACCAAGAAAGGGTAGAAGCTGTGTGTGCTATGGAGTTTATTACTCTGCACATGGATGTGAAAGAGAAACAACTGCTTGGGTCATCCCTGAGGGCTGTGGACTCCAGAGATGGCGAGCCAGTCAAATGCATCCTGAGCTGTGGTGCATGCTAACAAAAGTACACAGCAATGCATCTCGCGCCAACTTTTGGCTTCATCAGATTCCTCCAAGAACTGTTACAGTCTGCTAACCCATGAAAAAGTGGATAGCCTTCTGCCAAGTCAGAGACCTGAGCCAGCTTGTGGTATGATGCTGAGGGAGCAGGACCCAACGAAGGAAGGGAGGAGATGAGATAGGGCAGGACTGTGGGAATGGGAATGTGTTGGACAGGAGGAAGACCATCTCACCAAGGCAATGCCAGGCCCTAGCTTGGCACAGCCACCCTTAAGACTGCAGCCTAGATCATTTGTAAGTGAGATGACTGGGTGCTCAAGACCAGTCTAGTGCTCAAGTGTTTGCATCTACGAATGAGCCTTCAGTTAGCTAATAAAGACGTGGCAATTGACTGTGGTAACTGGAGTTCTGTATCTACACAGAAAGCTGCCTTTAGTAGAGCACAGTGTTTGCTCATCTAATCTTGTGTCCCATCTCAGCCATGCCAGTTATTTGTTGATTTGGAGAAAATATTCCTTGAGGGTTGAGGCAGGAAAGCAGAAAGAAATAAAGCTGCCCTGTCACTTAGCCACGTTCTTCCCAAGAACATGCAGACAATGTTGTTTTGTCCCAAGTCCCGTAATGGAGAGCCTGAGATTTCACAATCGTAAAAATGTAATTAGCCCCCAGGGCTTTGGGGAAATATAATTTCTTTTACCTTATCTTCTTATTGGGGTGAGAGGGTAGAGGGGGAAGTTATTACATTTGAAAATAAAACATATGGCTCTGTCATTTTGAAAAGTCTTTTTAGATAAGATTGTAGAGAAGTCCATCTCTTCTGCCTTCTAGACAGCATTCATGCCATGAGCAGTGGTAGATACCAAGCACAACACGTTTTCCGTAGTGTGCAGTCTCTGCTAATAAAAAGGAGTAGCTGTGATGCTAGTGTTTGACAGCTGTGGTATGCTTTTAGGCTGGTTTTGGTTTAGATGACCACTGAAGCTGTTCAGGATTTGGGGACTGCTCAGACAACCGTGACTTGATGTCTCTTTACACTGTCTCCTGTGAGAACTTTGTTGGCAGAAGGGCCCCATTAACCTGTGAAATTTAGTGAATATTTTCACACTTCTGGTATATATATGTATTTTTTTAATTTTTCCAAACTGACAAGTTTTGGCATCACATAAATCAAGTCTTGGCCCCACTGACATCAATACCAAGATTCCCACCTTCCACAGAATATCAGTTCTAGACACTGGTGCCCTCCTTGTGAGTCTTCCACCTAGGAAGACCAATTTCTGCTTTCCTGTCCCCAGAAGGAGCTTGACATAAGAACATACTTGGAAAATGTGTCAGATACTTAGCGGGTTGATCACCCCATCACAGAGCAGTCTGAAGAGTGAAGTCTGAAGAGAATGCATGATCCGTAAATAACAGGCACAATATGAGGAAATACATACTATAAATATGTACTATAAATAATAACTGTGGGTGTTGTGCATTTTTCAGGGCTGTAATATACTTGCAGATTTTAGATGTTTTGTAACCTGTACCGGCAAGTCCATCAGTGATGGCAGACTCCATATATACTTCATACATAACAGTTATATGATGTGTTTTCCGGCTCCCCTAAATCAAGTTATTGTCAGTAATGGCTCGAATAGGTTGCGTTTTGCCTTCCTCATTGTCGTAGCAATGTTTACAAGAGGTGTGCGTGTTACCAAGCTCTGCCAGAGAAACTTTTGGGAAAACTCTCTTAGGGCAGCCAAGACTAGCGCAACCACTGTTTGAATAATTGTTTGTGTGTTTTGGTTTGGTTTGGTTTTTCTAGATTGGCTGCCAACACAAAGAACCAAGGGAAATAATTCCAAGTAAAATTTCAATTTTCTCTCCTTTTTTTCTTTCCTTGACAAATTAAAAATATAGAAATATTTCATTTCACCAACCCCCTAAAGTGTTTCATTTCAGTCATTAAGAAAAGCAAGGGAAATGAAGGGTTAGACTTCAAAGAAAGTGCCTGGAGGCAGTTCCCATTTAGCGGCTCAAGGAGCAGAGCCCTCATTCAGGATGGAGGAGACAGTGCTCCAACTCTTTTCTCTGCTGGAGAGGATTTGAACATGTTTGCCTTGCTTCCCAGGAAGGCTTGCTAGGAACTGGCTATTCTGTGAGGATAAGATTAGGTGAAAAATGAGCTGGAGGAGACAAGGGCTAGATGTAAAAACAAAAGTAAGTGATGCTGAAAAAAACTATTTTTTGCTGTCAAGCTGCAGTTTGGAAAACAAAACTGCTTGTTTGTAATGTTTATGAACACTGTTTAAAGAAAAGGTATCTATATCAACTTTGGATGATTTTGTCACAATGGAAATTCATGTCTCTCTGTATTTTAGAAGTCCAGCTTTATTAGCACATATTTTAAGATGTAGTACCTGTACATGCACAGCATAAATTGTTGAAAGCTGTGCAAATGGCTTGTTTGTTAGGACACACATACATGCTTAAGAAGTACCACTAAATTGATGTATTCTTACTTGCTGTAGCTCTTGTCTCTGCCTTCAAATTAACCTCTTTTCAGAAAACTAATCAATCCAGAGCAGGGCTGTTCTATAAAACAGATAATTTACAGTTTTCAGAGATAACTTCTTGGCCTGAAGACTGGGACCGGAACACCTCCTTGGAGCTCTGTCTCAGCGGGTTTTCGTGACTAGCACCTTTTGGGATTGTGTCAGGACACAGAGTTGGCTGGGCAGCCTATGCTTTGAGCTTTTTTTGTCTGCAGTGTTCACATCAGGTTCCCCTGCACAGCGTTCGATGGGATGCGGTCGGTACTACACATGTATTACTGCCAGTCTAAATTGCTGTCGTCTTTGTGTTCTGACTGCAGATCATTAGATGGCCGGCTGCAAGTATCTCACCGGAAAGGCCTTCCCCATGTGATCTACTGCCGGCTGTGGCGGTGGCCAGACCTTCATAGCCACCATGAGCTGCGTGCCATGGAGATGTGCGAGTATGCCTTTAACATGAAGAAGGATGAAGTCTGCGTGAATCCTTATCATTACCAAAGAGTGGAAACCCCAGGTACTGCTGGCCCTATGTGCGGATACCTCAGTGTCTTGGTACCAGCATAAGGGATTTATAAGTGCATTTCAAAATTGAATAAAGCAGCAGGCGTAGGGTTTTAAAACCAAAGTGTATCTATTATTAATGGTAATCTCTTACTGTACGCAGTAGAATAATTTATGAATCTACACTCCGGGGGGAAATACCATTTTAAATCGACAAAATCCAAGTCCAGCAGGTTGTATTGTTGCCAGGTTCTTAATGTGGCATTGTGTGCATGTAAACAACTCACACATGTAGGAGATACAAATATGAACTATGGCAGTGTTCTATGCATCCCTAACCGTTGCTATTAAATGAAGGATAAACTTACTGTGAAGTTGAAGTGGATCTAAGAATAGCTCCCAACACAACTGAACTTCCTGTTCTGAAGTCTCCTCCTGCCTCTGAAAGAGACTTTCATCTGGAACTGCGATACTTCTGCTGCGTGTCGGTACAAATCTGCAGAACCAGTCTGGATGTTTATGCTAATCCTGCCTTACGGTTTCATTTTATGTGAAATTTATTCCTTTTCAACTATGTGGTATAACTTCTCTTAAATCATTTTTCAAGAAGACCTGTTTCTTTGCCTTATAACAGGCAGACAGAGTAGGTGTGTTCAGATAAGGACGTATCCCATCCCCAGCTGAGATATGTTAAGAATAGCATCTTCAACTGCTGCTGTTATTTCAGAAGCAAGTATCAAATTGTGTCCCTTAATTAGCGACTTTGGTGTTGCAAGTATTTAAGGGTGTTACTCCAAACTGGTTTCTCTTCATTTTCTAGGGTTTCAGTCATTTTATTTTAAAGCTGTTAACGTTGCTGTTCTGGGTTTTTTTTTCTTTTCCATTTGTGCAGTGTTACCTCCAGTGCTGGTGCCTCGGCACACAGAGATCCCAGCTGAGTTCCCGCCGTTAGACGATTATAGTCATTCTATTCCAGAGAACACTAACTTCCCAGCAGGTATCGAGCCACAGAGCAACTACATTCCAGGTACCGTATATCTTCCATGTAGCGAGCAGAGGGAAACGGGTCATATTGCACAGTGAATCGTGTCTCTGTATGCCAGCCTGGATGACTGGAAAGTCTTTCTTTCCATCATCACTATGAAGTTAAGGAGTGGGAACCTATACAAAAATAGATGAAAGCTGTAAATGTAGACACACAACAGTGCTGTTTATAGTTTTGTTTTCTTTAAACTCACCTCTTCAGTAGTACGTACTCAGTTTATTGTGGAATCTAAAGCTGAATGTTCCCTTAACAAGTTTAGATTGGAATGAAATTCAACCATTTTAATTTGAGTAAAACTCTCTAAATTTCTGACGGAATTGAACTCTTCTATTTATGTATCTCTTTTACAAGCAATTTACACATTATTTGCATGGACAAGCTATGCAGCTGCACACCAGGGGAGGAAAAATATGTGGACAGAAAACTGTCTAGATGGCTTAAAGTTTTATGGGACTGAAAATCCAGATTTTTCTGTTTCCCCCCTCCTTTGTTATTCACAAATATGCTATGCCTATCATTCTGGTTGTGCCAGCTCCTCCTCTCAGCAGCTTGAGGAAGAAAAGTAATAAAAAAGAAATTTAGCTCCTTGTGAATAACAAAGTAAATGGTTTTGGTGTTCAAAATCCAGACTTTGCATCCAGTTGCAATGACAGTATGATCATTTTATACTTCTAGAGACACCTCCTCCAGGCTATTTGAGTGAGGATGGAGAAACTAGTGACCACCAGATGAACCCCAGCATGGATGCAGGTAAGTCATCTTTTGCCATTTGCTGCAGCTTTCTAGGTCGTATCAGAGACTCTTGTAAAAGTTTTTCTTTGGAGCACTGCAGATCAGATGGTGGTTTGAGGTATTTTATCCCTGTAGGAGTGCAAATGTAGCCTGACATCTCACATAAAGCACAGGGCTGTATGTTTTAGAGCTGCTGGTGAAAGGTACAGCATGTTCCTATTGTCGCCAACATCCATCATTAGATACTGCTAAGCAGGAGCTTGAAATAGTCAAAACACATCTAAGGATGACAGTTAGTGTTGTATTTGTGTCCATGCTTCTGTATGCACGTGAAAATTTTGCACATAGCTGGCACTTTCCTGCAGAGGCATTTTTCTGATTGTTTGGTTGCTTACATCCTGAAATGTCCAGTTTAACTATACTTCAAATGATCACTAGGAGATTTGTTTTTAAATGGGTTTATCATTTAGCGGATATATCCCAAAGAAAGTTGAAAGTCTGGGTTCTGTCTCATTGCCAAGAAAATATGTAACAAGGTTTAGAATGAACAGCCTTAGTGTTCATGCTAACCTGTATCAACACTAAAATTAAACACGCAGGTCTCATCTTTCTGGGAGTAACTTGACAGACATTCTGGGAGTTTAAGGCATCTTGTTGATCTGAGTGGTGTCACTGCTTGTGAGTAAGAACCTCTGAATCAGACTCCAAATTCATAAAATGTTTGCTTGAAAAGCAAAAACATGTCCTTAGTTAGAAGGGCTGATGCTTTACAAGAGGGGTATGCAAATACATGGCACTTACATAAAGACAGACATGCAGAATCTAATTAATGCAAATACTACATACAATTATCTTGGTTTCTGTGCCTATCTTCAGCCGTAGAGCGTATATGGGGTTCTAAAAGAGGGATGACTGATTTGCAGTCTTTCACCACAGTTATACAGATGGAGGAAGGCAGTGTGGGTTTGTTTGTCTACATCAAATATAAGCCTGTTGACACAATCCGTTTTAGTGTATACAATTATTGGTAATGTGGTTGGCATGTGGAATGTATGTATGGCTTTTTGGAAAATGGACTGGAACAGGATTGGCCTGGAATATGCTATAAATACCCAGTTTATGTTCAAATGCTGTATCGCTTCCTTCAGATGTCATGGACTTCCCTCTTTATAGAAAAAAACCCACATTTTAAAGAAACTAGCCAAACTCAGTGTGAGAGGAAAATAAAAAATGGTCTGTACAATCTGTCTGCATCCATGTGGCATCCAGACACTGTGGAAATTGCTCTGGACATCCAAGTGTAGATATTTGAAATATATGCCCAAAATTTGTGGACCAAATTGAAACGATTGGGGATAAAATAGTGACACTTGTTTGGTCAGATCTGTTTAGCTTGATCCAATACTCCATTTTCCAAACCACAGTAAGATTTGTTGATATAAAGTGGTATGTTTTCGACTGTTATGAGTGAGTATGTTTTGTGCCTGGCAATGTAAAATCCAGCTCTTAAATGCCCAGTGAACTGGTTTTGACTGTAGCTGTCATGATAGTACCTGGAGTTTTGATAACTGCAAGTGAAAGTAAAACAGACAACTACATGCTAAGTTTTGAAAATTAATGGTTAAGCTTAAGTGAATGCATTATAAAGATGCTTAGCAGTATTGCAGATGTAGCAAGTTGATTTAAGTAATAGCATTTGGAAGCTCATGGAAAGAGTAATCGACATGAGAAGCTGCTGGTGTCACAAAATGAGACTTAAGTGGGAAAGTGGATTATCCCTCCAACAGGCCTGGGCAGTGCTGCGGATTTTGTGCAAGTGTTTTTCCTTGTGCAGATGCCATACTAATAATTATATTGTCTTGATTTTCAGGTTCTCCAAACTTATCACCAAACCCTATGTCTCCAGCACACAATAATCTGGGTAAGCATGTGATCTTGAGAACTGTGTGTAATTACAGTCAAGATAGTGACATTTTAATGATGATGTTTATTTCTTGAGGTTGCGCACTTTTGATGAGGTTGTTGATGTTCCTTTCCGCTAATCCTCTTTACTGTGATAACAGTGGTTCATAGTAACTCTATATGAAATACAGAAATCTGAACTTACATCAGAGTGTTAAATAAAAAACCAAGAAATGCTGGCAGGCAAATACCAGAAAGAATGAGTGAAGGACTGCAGCAAAAATACACTTGTTTGATTACATGAGTTTGCAAGGAATATGTCTGTCTGTTTTGCTGGTGGTTTTGTGTTCTTATAGTTTTAAAGGACACAGACTGAGGTTAAATTTTGTCTCCTGGAAAGTTACTTTGTAAATTTGTAGTGCCTACTGGTCTCTTTTACAATATACCAGAGCACCTTGCAATTTTTTTTATATTTATTAACTTGGTGTTGCATCCATTATAGGGCAAATGCTGCTATCCACATATTGTGGACAAGGGGCTGAGGTTCAGAGGAACAGAGTTGCCTGCACTGCTTGGTCAGCTCAGGCAATCATCTGCTTCAGTGGAGAGCAGCAAATGCATTACATCCTCACGTAAACCCAGCTCAGGAGCAAACCCACGTCCCCAGCAGAGCAAGTGTGCAGTTACGCAGCACAGATGGGCATGGCCTTGAGGGTTTGGGTGACAGTGGCTGGGGACTCCTAACAAAACTACGAGTGCTGGGATGGTGTCAGACTCACAGGGTAAGTCTACCTGAGGGGCATCCCTAGACTGCACAGGGATAAAGCAGCCCAGAGCCCTCGGGTCCCAGTCTCCTAAACCACTGGAACAACTGATGGACCAGGTGTGTAAGTTATTATAGTATGAAACAGAGCATGGTCTGAGCAGAGCAACGTGGAGGAGGCTACTTGGTTGGTGTGCGGTTAGAGAGTCCAAATAAATAGACAGAGGGTAGGAATGCTAGCGTGGAAGAGGTGCAGCTGTCCCAGACAACCTTACTTGAGCATCAGCGGTGTTTGTGGGGTCTTATGCTCAAACGAGCCTGGAGGAATGTTGTTGGTGAGATGCACAAGCCAGAGATGCACTGTGGGATTTTTCTGACCGCCCAGCCAGTTGGTTTACTTCAAGTAAACTCAAGTTATACTGCAATCTTGAGTTGTCTTCCCCCTACCTAACTCCATCCTGCGCACCAGGAAGACAGTCCAGCCCTAAGTGCAGTCCTGGACCACTGATGTCATTGATTCATTCCATAACCTGTAGATAGTAAATAGGAGGAAAGCTGAAGAAGAAGGAATAGCAGTTGAACAGGGCCTTTACCTTTGAGATACTATTAGAGGTTTTGTGGCTATCTCTGAACCTGTTTCTTCTCAAATAGCTCTGCCCTTTATTTTCATACCTACAGACATAAAAGCTCTGATCTTCATCAGTTTGAGCTCTTACCCTAGTTGAAATTGCTCTCAACGGTCGCTCATAAAAAGCACTCATAGCTCTGGCTAGCTGCAGGATCAGTTCTCTAAATGTTCATTAAGCCAGCAGACAGAGGCCACTTGAGATTACTCTTGAATAACCATAGCCATAAAGTTTACATATGCTTTTAATCCTGGCACAGAGTACTTTGACACTGCTCCAAAATTTGTCAGTGATTGGCTGACTTGTGGATGTCTTGGGCTGTTGAAGAGAGGATTTCTTTTCTCTTCTCTCCTTTACCTCGCCCCCCGCCCCCCCCTTTTTTTTTAAGCATGGGATATATTGCCACAGTGCCACTAAATTTTTATTTGCTTTAACTGTTAAAGCCTAAGAAGAGGATACATGGCTGACTTCTTTTTATTTCCTTTTTTCTTTTTTTGTTTGAATCCATTATTCTCCAGTGTGCTGTCTAGGACTTGATGAGAATTTCTAGCAATTTTTTTCAGCCTGAAAATAAAAAGCCAATTACATGTAACAAAACCAACCTGGCAAGTTGACTGTGGCATCTGCCTTACATAAGGAAAAAAGGAGTTTCTAGGAAAGAGGCCCCAGTGCATATCCTTTCTAACAAGGACACTGGTTATTAGTACATGCTGCTCAGCTGATGGGCCTGTCAGATGTCTAATGTGCTGTCTGGTGACAAAAACTAAACAGGAGCAGGTGAAGCTGGTTAACCACAAGGAATCTCTTTGTAGTCTAAGGAGCAGACATCAGAAAAGCATTGTAACTTCCCAACATTAAAAAGATACCTTTAAGTTTTGCAAACCAAACATTTATTGCTCTTAGGCAAGAGCTTCCACAAATTAAGATCTTCTTGTCTCTTTTAAAAATTTTATTGTAAAGTTTTGCATGTGAGGAAGCTACAAAATAATAAATGAAATGGCATGTAGGTGAGCAACTCTTAAAACTGTCAAATGACAAAACTGTTATCTTCTGTACCTTGTAGATGCCATATCTAAAGTAAGGAACTGCTTATAGTAGTGTAAATGAAAACCCCAGCAGCCCTTCAGACCTTCAGCCTGATGGTCTCTGCAGCCCAGAAAGGGGTTGCACAGGCTGTGAGAGCAGAACTTCTTTCCAGCTTTGCAGGTTCTCTCTCCCATTAGAAGTTAGTGGGTGGCTGGTGGCCTGCAGTGCTCCTGCTTTTGCTGTGCTGTATAATTCTGTGGATAAGCAGAACACTGCAGTGTCTAGGGCTGTACTTTGATCTGCAGAAGTTTAATCAGGCTTTCTCTGTATGTTCGTTAAGAAAATTGAATAGAAATTTAAAAAAACACAAGAGTGTGCAATGAGGAAAATTATCAGCAAGCTTTCAGCAGCGGAGTGTGGTGGGTTTTTGCAGTTTTGCTGTTAAGAAAATAATGTCACAGTATTGATGTCCATTTATTTGACCAGAACTACCTGAAGCTTTTAAGACAGTTTACTTTGTGTAAGCTGAACTTTGCACTTAAATCCCATGGCCGTATTCCAGAGAATTACAAAGGCAATAAACTAGCATGAGGCAAACCAACTAGGACGATAAAAGCAAGGTTTGTTTGAGGTGTAATGTATGTATTTCAGCATAAAGCTGTAGGACTATAATACGAGGTTGAAGGAACTTAGGGAGTTTCATCTTTCCATTCACAGGCACAAAAGTGTTGCAAGGTAACATATTGGGAATTTTTTTTTTTTTATCTCCTTTCACCTTGTGCATTTGATTTGGAAGTATTCTAGTTTTGGTCCAAAATTTCAGTTGTCAAATTTTCAGTAGTCAAACATAAGCTTTAAATGGAAGTTGTAGATATCCAGTGATCTCTTCTGTATTACTGAAACATGAACTGGAGAAAATACAGAGAACAACCAAAATGAAAGGAGAGTTGCCAGCATTATGTGGACATTGGGAATGAAGTCAGGGAGTTGACGCTGGCCGAGGGCCAAGCCTGCGGTTGCATGCATATTGTTATTTTGGAGCGAGGCAGTCCCTTGGCGTACAGGAAATCCATTGTCAGTGTTTGCTCCGCAAAAGACTTGACGCAAAAGCTGTAAGTGAAGTAAGCACATACCCTACGGTCAAATCCATCAGTAACATAAACCTCTGTTACTCTCTGTGTTGAAACACTATTTCCAAAAGCAGTGAAAAGACGGCGCTTCTCAAAGTACAGAGGGGAAGGGAGCGTGCGTACCTATTTATCTTTCCATTTCTGAGGAGGGAGTTAGAATTAATGTGGCTGCAACTAAAACAGTTGGATAACATATATCAGTAACTTCTGATACACATTGTGTATCAAATGCATTAACTGAAACTAGGATAACAACCACTCTTATGCTTAGAGCACACAGTCAAGAGTGCAAAGCAGCCAGCAGAGGTTTGTTCCTCCACAGCTGAACAGATAGTACTTTCATTGTGTAGGGGTAATGCAAAATGGGTAGCATCCGAATACTCAGTGAAATAGTTGTGAAAGCAAAGCTGTAGCAAGTCAAGGTTGAGATTGTATGGAGATGATTCAGGCAGGATTTGCTTGGGTTTAATGCATCATGTTTTAGTTGACTGTGTACCCCCTCAGGATCCTTTGACTTTAGCAGAGCTACATTCTTTTACTTTTCCCCAAACAATAAATCCATAAATTGAAAATGAATATTCAGGACAGCTCTAACACAAGAGGAAACTTGCCCATCCCATGACAGCTTAAGCTGAAGCCTAAGACCACAAATCACAGGAGAAAGCAGCATCATTAAAAGCTTGGTTGCATATTTTAGAGACAAGTTTTTCTTCAACGTAGGATTTGTTGGTTTGTGTCTTTCCTCAAGCTGCAAATAAGCCGGAAATAAAAATTCTGTACATCCTTCAGTGGGGAATCCACAGTTCCCTTGAATTGCAACCAAGCGGAGGTGGTTTCTGAAGGAAAGGACCACGAAACCATAGACAGCAATACAACCTTCAGTGTTTTTATAACTTGAATAGTACCGATCTGAGGACATTACTTAAGGATTGACAAAAGTAGATTTTTCTGGAGCTGAGCAGCCTTTCAATTAGAAAGGCACTTGCTGTGGAATAAGAGCACAGTCATGTGGAACGCAATCTGTTTCCTTAAGTGAGTGGACATAACTTAAAAGAATCTGATTAGTGCTAGTATTTGCTGTCCCTCTATACGAATTGCACTGGAGTCACGTGAAGCCGAGAGTCAGTTACGATGTGTACAGATTACTGCTGCAGGCCACAACTGCTAATTGGTGAAATGAGGCTGATATTGCAGAAATATGCCTGATGTGGCAGTTTCCAGTGGGACAACCACATATGTCGTACAAGAGAAAAAGGCAGGGACAGTAAATTTGCATGACCTCTGAATGTGTTCAGTATCATCTGTGCATATCAGGAGAGGGGCTTGCTTTAAGCTATAAAACTGTTGAAAATGTGATGAAGCAGGTATGCTTACCAGATACCTTTAATTAATGTTCAGTTGAGCTGCATTCTGTTAGCTTTTGTTTTGAGCATTAGGTCCTTTTCCGTAAGAGGAAGACATGCTTTTTCTTTGGTGGGTGTAATGTGTGGAGGAGAGCAGGAACATCAGGCTTTGCTTGATAGAGCATTTTTCTTTAGGATAATACAATTATGGAAAGAGAGAGACTGTGAAAGAAGCTGGGAATGGGTATAAGCTCCAAAATTCTCAGACTTTGAAGACCTGCTAAGGATTACCTGCTAAGGATGCACTTTTATCCAATTCTTCATTTGCTTTCAGCAAAGCTTGTAACAAAGCAGAAACCAAAGTTTTTTTTCTGATTATTAGCTACTTTGGGAACTCACTCACCACAGTAATGGCGAGGAAACCAGCATGTCTTTTGGCTGAAGCCAGGCTGCTTCAACCTGTTCCTAAAGCTTACGGAGTAACAGCAGGTTACAGATGAGAAATGACTCTCAAACCCCTGTAGAGACACTCTCTTCAGTGTGAGAGGAGGCCTGTAAAAGAGTAAAAACCTGTCTTTGATTTTTTTGGAGCTGATCTCTTAAGCCCCAGATTCGCCTAAGCCTTGCAAGAGCAACAGATGGGAAAGCCTATGGAAAAACCTGGTTTTTGCTGCTTGACGTTAACTCTTTGGCCAGATGGGAAGCTGTCCTGTTCTGCTTTTAAGCACCGTTTGAATGGGGATGAAGTGATAAACTGAGGGGAGTACTGGAGGGAATTCTTCTCTTTTATTTCTTGCATCGAATGTGGGGAATAGAGCACTTATCGATTAGGTTAGTCTGCGTTTCACTTCCTCCACTCAGCAGATTCCTGGCTTGCAGAAGGACTGGGCACCATCTAGTGCAGTATTTCCAAGAATATTTGACTTGAACCTTCCTCTGCTAAAATTGCGTTGGCTTCAGCGGGAGCAGTTAGATCATTCCATGACATTTGCATGTCCCACCTTTCATGCATATGAAGTATTGTCTTCCTGAGACTGCCTCAGCCTCGGTCTGCTCGTGAACTTTGGTCCTTTCGCTTTGGTTCACAGGCCGAGTCAAACCGTAACCCCAATAAAAGAGATGTACCATCACCTATTGGGGAAATTAATTTTCTTTCGATAATTTGAGACCAAGTGAGGTGGAAGAAACTATCTAATTTTTAGATCGCTTTGTTGGCACTATTACATACAATTTGGTGCATGTTGCAGACAACTGTACTGTGTCATGAGTGTCAGAGAGACCTTAACAGAGTCAGTAAGAACGAAAGTTGGACTTGCTGGCTACTCAGCACAAGTGCACAGCATTAGGGTTCTGGAGGCCTGTGTTATTGAAAGCAGGTTTGTGGTTTGCTCTTTCTAAGCTTTTCTGTTTCTTCCTCTTTTGTCCTTTTCTCTTTTTAGTGTACTGGCTACCTAAAAGTGATCCTAAGCTGAGTTTATTTTTTAAATTTTCTCCAAGTATGAAGATAGTTAAGTGACACCCCACTTGCTAAGTGACTAATATCTTTGACTATTTGTGATTGTTTCATGTGCCAAAAGCTTCAGGGGTGATGTAACTTTCTAGCTGCGGTCCATTAAAATCTGTCAAGTAATTAAAGTTTAGTGGTTAAAGTGAGCCCAAGGAATAAAGCAGAACAATATTTCAAAACTGTCGCTTTTTTTTTTCACCCCTCTTTCCCCTCCTGAGGGCCTGTGACTCATTTTGCTTTTTATTTTGTGCAGATCTGCAGCCCGTTACCTACTGCGAGCCAGCTTTCTGGTGCTCGATATCCTACTATGAACTCAACCAGCGAGTGGGAGAGACTTTCCACGCCTCTCAGCCCTCTATGACCGTGGATGGTTTCACTGACCCATCTAATTCTGAACGTTTCTGCCTTGGTTTACTGTCTAACGTGAACAGAAATGCAGCAGTGGAACTCACAAGACGACACATTGGTAATTTCTATTTCCTTATTTTAGTCAGCATCTTTCAAGGTGGAAGGTGGAGACCTGCAGGTAAAGCTTTTTATTTAGCTAATCAGTGTGCAGCTTGGTCAGTTTTAGAACACTGCAATGTTTGAATATCCATGGTGTTTTAGAAGACTAGTCTTCCATAAAAGAACACTAATTTTATTTTTTTCATAAAAGTATAATAAAAAAATGCACTCAGGAACACTAAAATTGCTGCATATAATAAAGACAGAATTTAAATTTTTACATGTGCTTTTCTGTATTTGGATGGATGTTAGTGATAATCTTGTGTATTCCTTTTCTGTCCTGCACTATTTTATTTTCTAACTGACTGTTCTTTTATAAATGGAAACTTAGTTCCTTGATTTTAATCTCAATTTCCACTTTTCCTACTGATACTGCAAGGTAACGTTCAATTTTTTTTTCAGTTAAACTTGCACAAAATAGAATATCCCAAACTTATGCAATTTTAATAAAAGGCAAAATTGCTTGAGCTTTGCTGTGTTTTCTGCTGACTTCTGTCAAAAACGAATGTGCTTTTTGTCCTGATTTTGCTCACCTTTATACCCTTTCCTGAGCAGTAAACATATAGGAGGTTATTTCCTTACTTGTTTCTAAAATAATTTCTAGCACCAAAAAAGGCCCAACCTCCCAAAACCCACCAAGATTCAGAAATCAGTCTTTAAATCCATCAGGCTCCTTATGCTTTATGGAAGAAAGAAAGCAAGATGTTCAAACAGGAATGTAAGACGACAGCAAATGTTTATTTGAGCCACAAAGATGTATTCCTGAAATTTGTTTCTTTATTGACTGAGATTTTAATAATTGGTGTAAACTCCTACGGGAAATGTATGTTTGTCCTTGTATACAATGTGATCTCAAGCAAAAGGCAATGATTTGAAAACGTTGTATAATTTAATTCCAAATCACTAAGTAAATAAACCAACAGTTGTATCCAGCTGCCATAACTTTCAGAAAAGGTTGAAAACTGTATGTTAACTGATAGAACATTCATATGGAAAATATCAGACACACGTATGTTTGGAGTAAGCAGGCTATGAGGTGGTAAATTTATGCAGTCCAGGCTGTGATTGACAGTGGGGCCGGAGAGTGTGATTCTGACTTTATAAATTGGTCCTCCTGCCTTCCTCAGCTTAACTCGCTGACAGAGCAGATTTATTGCTCCCTAATGGGAGTACCCAGCGGGCCAAAAGAGGTGGTTTTCATTTTCCATCATTCATCGTTTAGCTGCTTGTTGAGAGTTGTCTCACGCAGAGGTTGTCTACATGTCTACCAGCTCCTCCTGCAGATTTTGCAGATGGTTGTTCTAAGCTAAACCAAAACTATGCCTTGTGTTTCCTAGGAAGAGGAGTAAGGCTCTACTACATTGGTGGCGAGGTGTTTGCCGAGTGCCTTAGCGACAGTGCCATTTTTGTCCAGTCTCCTAATTGCAATCAACGCTATGGCTGGCACCCAGCAACAGTTTGCAAGATTCCACCAGGTAAGGAAGTACGCCTTATCTGTGATCCTACGTGGGCGTCACCTTTTGCAAATGGGGACTTGCCCTGGAAAGCGAGCTCTTTGTCAAGGTAGGCATGGATTTGCTGACCTCCATTCTTGACAATAATCGGAAACTTTTACCCTATTATAAGCAACTTGGTGACCCGAGCAGACAGCATTTTTTGTTTTTAATAGCATAAATGATGAAGGTACTGATAACGGAAGCTACTATGTATGCTGCAACAGTTGTTTGCACTACATACAAGTAGGAAGAAACAATACTTCAGGATCTAAGCAGAACTAAGAGCAGAATCTGCCACTTGTTCCGTGCAGTGTTTTATCAGTCCAGTATTGTATTGTAATTATCTGATAGTCATGTTTATAATTTTATTTGTACCTTTTAAGTAAGGGAGTATAACGTAAGAAATTTTTCTTAACTTAGATGCACTCATAAAAGATTTCAATTGTTACTTTTTTCTGTTCTGTAGTAAAACTTCCTCCCTGCTTTGTGAATTAGTTTTATTCTAGAGAAATTGCATTTGCAGGCACCTTGTTCTGGTTACAGCAAAAGTATGTCTAAAGAATGCTGAAAAATTATAAGATAATTTATTGCATCTATCTAGAAAGAGAATACTTTTTTTGTCAGATAAATGTAAAAGAGCTAGTATGAGAGGTTGCCATTCGAAAGGGAATTTAGCTATTTAGCTAGGCTTACAAAAGCTAATTTTTTTACAGTTAGAAGTATGTATATATTTAAAACCCAACCTTTTTTGTTTAGAAATATTTGAATAAAGATTCTCTTTCTTTTGAGAAGAGATCCATACACTGCAAGCTCTGGCCCATCTTAATGGGTTTCCTTTCTCAGATGCTTAGGAAGCAGCTGCCAGTGTTGCAAACATGACTTAATTCTCCAGCCACATCACAAGAGTCCACCCCGGCTGGAGTCAATATCTGAAGACATAAACAACCCACATTTCCGCTGTAGATTCATCTAAGGCACATTTTTTGGACTCCAGCTCTCCCCACTTTTGCCACAGTCTTTGGCTGCCTTCTCAGACTCATCTTCAAGTCTTTGCTGGGTTTGAAGTAGTTCCTTCATTCTCTTGTTGACAAGATCAAGTCGTACCCACTCCTCCCAAGCACAGTCGTGGAGAGAACTGTTCCCATCCAGTCCTGAAGTCTGAACAGCTTGGCAGTCTGATCCTGATCAAGTTTTTTTGCTTTCCTTGCCATAGCTCTTTCTCTGTGCTCAACTTGGCCCTGATGCTCTCACCCTCCTTATTTTCCCCCCTTAGACTGCAATAGGCCTGGCATGGCTTCCCTTCAAACTCCCTGCAAGACACACAGCTCTTGGGCTGTGCTTTTCTATGGTCACAAAAATGGGTAGTTGTTTCTGCAGCTGCTGAGCTGTTGTTGCATGCGGTTACGCTTTGCTATATGCAGTTCGACCCAAAACAGATGACAGTGTGAGTCCAGCCCAAGAGAGTAGGCTCAGAAGTGATTTTAGAAAAATACAATTCATCACAGTCCAAATGGTTGTTTTTCAGACTTGGCCCATATGTAATCCCAAATGAGCATTATTTGCGTGCCAAGTTTCAGAGTTTAACTTGTTTATGGTTATCTGGGAGAAAGCAAGCATAGCAACACTTTTTCAAAGAGTTGTGTATTTATTTATTTATTTATTTATTTAAATGATGAAGGATGTTGTTGTATTTCACCTTTATCGCCTAAAAACAGTTGAATAAGTTGTTCTCAGTCTTTTTGCTGGGACTAAACATTGGGGAAAAACTCCAGTTTTAAAGGAAAATTCTTTGGCATATGATAGCTAAATTTAAGAGAGGATTATAGCAGAAGCAGCTCTGCTACCAGCCTTTTTAACCCTGATAACCGGTTTCTGGCTTGCCAGAGCAGTTTCACTTCAGAACTTCTCCATTACTTCTGCTGACAGTCACCATGTAAATCCAACACCAGTGAGCGCCTATTTTTAGCCTCTGCATTCCTTTCTTTCAGGCCCCATAGCGATTGCCGTTGTTAACTGTTACAGTCATAGGCTTTTAAATTACAATATGAGGGAAATGATTGTAAAGGAGATAGTAGGAGGTTCCACAAGAGGATCTCAAGTCTGGTGTCGTAGATGGCAATCTGCTGTGTGGGCACTAGCATTTATCATTCTCTGTCCTGTAACGTAGTTTTCTTCCTTTTCAGCATATGAACTGTGGAAATGTGGCAACCTTGATTCCTTTTTCTGCAATGCTGTGTTTAAACAATCTGTGTATAGTATCACATGGTCTGAGGGTATGGGAAAGCAGCATTGAGTTTCTTTCCATCCTCAGAAAGAAATGGATTTCTTAATCTGGTTAAGCTAATGCCTCGTTCTTGTCACATTCTTTTTTTCACAGGATGTAACTTGAAGATTTTTAACAACCAGGAATTCGCCGCTCTCCTGGCTCAGTCTGTAAATCAGGGCTTCGAAGCTGTGTATCAGCTGACCAGAATGTGCACGATTCGAATGAGCTTTGTCAAGGGATGGGGAGCAGAATACAGGTCAGACCTTTTGAACAAAACTTTGCAGTGTGCTTGTCATTGCCACCCCTGTATTTCACAGCCTAGGGTAGTGTTCTGCAAAGCTTCTTTACTCAGCTTTTAAGACAGGGGGAATTAACGCAGTGTCTCTTCAGTAATGCAGATAGGTTGTAATTGTTGGGAATGTGTTGATCTTGTCTCTTGGTTTTCCTATCTTATTTCTATAAAACATACGTCACGTGATATACCTGGAAGACCACGTGCATTTGGTCAGTGTTGTACAAACCAAGAGCTTTACCTGAAGCACAGTAGATAAGATGGCCTGTGTAGGAACTATGACATTTTTTTCTTAAAATTAGATGTATATTTGATAGTTTGAGTGTCTTATGACTACAGTTATCAGGACAGGATCAGTGAGAGTGCTTCCTAATAGATATGGGTTGGGTTTGATGCTTCATTTATCAGGGACTAATGGGCTTAAAATAAAAGCAGATTGGCTTGAAAATTTATATTTGGAAGAACTGTTAGAGTTGCTGCAAAACTATAGTTAAATCTCCTCATCCTTTCCTTGGTGCTTGTCGTAGGGCAGATGCTTAAATGTGACTGGAGGCAGTGGGAGAAAGAGAGTTACTATTTTTCCCAGTGAATATTGAGGATAAAAAAAGGAGATGCAGTAGGGTCTGATGTTTAGGATCAATGATGTGGTTATTCTGACAACATGGGGACAGTGCAGACAGTGCAAAGGAGGGAGTACTCCATAGCTTGTGGTGCTGTTGCTCTATTGCATTAGCAAGCAAATGTCCCTGAGTAGCAAGGGGAGTGAAATCAGTGTTTAATAGTACAAGTAGGGGAGACGAAATCCATTGGAAAATGAATGTCGGTTTATGAGAGAGAAAGCTGGCAAGGATTGAAGCCAAATGTGATTTTGAAATACTTGACTGTGTACCCTTTAAATCTGTGGCCTTATTTGAAAATCTGGGGGCAGTCCCTGCCTCCCGGAGCAGCAAGGCTGTCTGCCCGTGCTCCCCTTGCACGGCTGCCTGCAGCAGACGGGGGAGATGCCATAGTATCAGCTGGAGCCTGAGCCCTGCACGTTACTCTCCCACTTTCTTCATTTCTCCAGATGTTTGGAGTCCATTTTGTTTTGAAATTGTCCTGCACCCAGGCCAGAGCATTTCAGCCCTGGCTCGTAGCCACAGCTCATAATGAGATCCAGATGAGCATGACTTACGGAAAGTCAACTATCTCATTAGAGTATTGTAGTCAGTGAAACCCTACGCTCACGCCGACCACGCCGAAGCTGCTCTCTTGCTCCTTCATTTCCTTGCCACAAAATACTACATCTGATTGCCTTTGTCAGAGCACGTTTATTTATTGAACTGATTCATATATGAAAACGTTAGTGTGGGAGCGGCATCCAGAGCACTGTTCCAGTGATTTCTGGTTCAGCTGCTTAGCCTTTTGAGCAGTCTCATTGGTGGGGTGTTTAGTGCTGGGGTGTGCCAGGGATTTGGTGGAGGGAAGGGGGGAGAAGTGAATTGCATAAGCAGCCTGCGATACAGAGGTTCTCCTCGGTCCAGCGAGAGCCCGCTGGAGCAAGCTGAAGGCATGGAGAGCTTTGAGGGTTTGCCTTTCTGAAAGGCTGGAGCCAATGTGTTGGTCATCCAGATGGGAAGGCAGAATGACGTTTGCTGTGACAGAGTCGCAGAGGGCAGAAGTGCGACAGTCCCGTGGGTAGCGGGGTTCTGTACAGTGTTGCTGGGACAGTTGTGGGACTGCTCAGTGTTAGGCTGGTTTCAGGCAGCAAAGGGGAATGCTCTGTGTTACGTTAAGGGAGACCAGTTTTTGCTGGGACCTGAGGGGTTTGTATGCTTCTCCGAAGCTGACAGAGCGAGAGGTGCTCTGCTCTCCCTGTGCTGCGGTCCTCCTGCCCAAACAGCTCACGAGACGCCCTTTAATGCAAACCACTTACCATTAAGTCACTGTATTAGGACCAGCCCTGCCCGTACGCCCACTCTTGGGGCATGGCCTGGCCTGCCAGCTCTGGTCAGCCGCGCCTGAGCTGGGAATGGGTGGGGTGCCTTCGGGGAGCTGCTGCCATTTTCAGTTCAGAGGATGAGAGATACAGATTCATCAACAGAACGGGTTACAGCCCTTGGCCGAAGCTCTGCAGAGCCCTACCCTGAGCTCCGCTTTTTTACCCTGGCGGTGGGAGCGCAGGGCAGTCTCATGGTCCCCTTTTCAGCAGCGGTTTCTCCCTAGCCCCCCCCGGACTTTGGCGTCTCCCTCCCACAAACAGACTCCAAGGACAGCTTCTGTGGGAAATGAGAGTGTAAAACAAGGCTGTTTCCAGGCTATTTCTCTCTCTTCATAATCTTCCTCCTCCACAGCAGCTGTCTCTGCCTCTCTGCCTGGAACGAGACTTAGGCCATCTCTCAGTAGAGGAGGGAGAGCCCCTTGCCCTGTGCCTTGGCCTCTCTTCCCTCCCTTTCCTCCCCATCTCTTCCTGCTTTACCATCTGGAGACGCTCCATGGGGTCTGGCCTCAGAGAGAATAACAGAGAGGGGGAAGGTGCTTTGTGGCAGGGGGAAGTAGGAGCATGGTGTGCGCTGACCCAGCAAGGCATCCCCCTCTGCTCTCTGGCCACAGCCGCCAACTCCGGAGGGATTTTAAAACACATGGTTTAACACCATGTTTCTGCTTTTCTGATAGGTTTTGCAACTTTTTACACTCTGCAGCATTTCTGCTTCTTTTGAGGCAGCTGATCAAACGCAAATCTGTTGGAGTGCCCCATACACAGCGTGTGTAGCGTAGGGTTCAGACCTCCAGCGTGTCCTCCCAGGCTGTGCGAAAAGGATGCTCAGCGGCAGCTCTGGCCACACCAGGGAGAGAGAGGGCTCCACGGGGGAGTCTGAGTGGTGATCTCTCTCCATCACTTCCACATCCTGCTCAAACATAAAGATATGGTGAAAAGAGAGTACCCTTGTCTTACGCATAGAGAAATTTAACGTATTTGGTAAACTGCTTATGTTGCTATCTGATTAAAAGAGGCAAGGTCTGCAAAATAAAACTGAAGAATTTTGCTTAGATAAACACCTTCCTTTCTCTTCAGGGAATCAGATGCTGCCTGTTTGTCAGGAATCTGAGTAGTAAATAGGTTATAGAGTGAGTTGCTCCTTTGGGATCATAAGAAATGTAAAGAGAAAAGGTGTAGGGTTTTTAAAAGAAGTTGGCAGCATAGGCCAAAAGCGTGTTATAGAGGAGAGAGACATTCCTTTGGCCCCACATGCAAGACTATTGTCTAAGCAGGAAAGAATGCTTCAGTAGCTGTAAAACCTTTTCACATTTGTAAAGTTTTGTAAGTCACATTTACGTTCTTTTTTTTTTTCTTCTCTCACTCCTTTCCCCAACCCCTTCTTTCTCGTAGGCGGCAGACTGTGACCAGTACTCCCTGCTGGATTGAACTGCATCTTAACGGGCCTTTGCAGTGGCTGGACAAGGTCCTCACACAAATGGGCTCCCCGAGTATTCGTTGTTCCAGTGTCTCCTAAGGAAACATCTCCTGGGGGTGGGTGGGGGGAACAAAGACTCTGGAAAATGGAATTGGCCTAACCCTTAGCAAAATGCATAGTGCATAGTAAACAAATTCCCAGTTACTGAAGTGATGAGGAAAAAAAAAATCTGCTAAAAAAAAAAAGTGGGTTTTGTTTTCTTTTTTTTTTTTTTTAACCTAAATACCCATTGAAGCCACTTCCACTGAAACTGTTAGCACTTTGGTTACAATGCCATGGGCCATTGCAGTTAGAATTTGAAGCTGAAGTTTATCATGACAAAAAAAAATGGACTTTGCTTCAGCAGAGAGAAGCCAGTGCTCTGCCTCAGGCCGCGTTGCGCCTGTCTGGCCGCTCGCTCTGCGCTGTTGTGAACATGCAGGAGCCGCTGACGGCTCAGAGGAGACTTTCTGTTTGCCTCGCACAACTCCAGGCTCGTGTCACGCCGCATCTCCAAAAAGCCAGATACCGTGGGATTTTGAGATGACTCTTGCTCATGCGTTCCTGTCGCCATCCACCTGATCCACACCCGTCTTCCCTGGGACTGCAGCAGTAGAGGGGAAAAGGAAGCATTTAAAGCACACACAAGAACTAATTCCCCCAGTAATGTTCCCAAAAGGAATGAATTTCCCACGCTGGACTACTAATGAGGAGGCAGAGACTTGCTTCATGCCTGAGGGGTGCAGCCGATACCCCGATGGTCTCAGACTGGATTGACGTGAAGCAAAAGGCCAAACTTAAGGCCCCTTCTGATAGTGCTGCAGCAACTTTTGACTTGAGCTGCTCGCAGACAGACATTTGTCATGTGGGGAGCTCTGGCTGGCTAAGTTAGCCTTCGTTATTGTGCAGTCTATTTGCATTAACTCCAGAAAGTTTGTATTTTATTTTCTCAGTATGTTGAATGGTATCTGCCACTTCTGAAGTCTTAGGGGCTTAGGGAATGCAGTGTCCAGGTCTGCTCTAGTGATGGAAGTGAACAGGCCCTTGCTGCCTTTTTCAGAGTATGAAATTTAACAGGTTATCCCATGCTGTCACATGTGACTGCGCATGAACCAGGACATCTCAGACACAACCCCCCTCTGTTTAAAACTTATTTCAGCTGATTAAAATGCTCTGAGATGTGCTTTTGCCTGGAGAAATTGGGAGAGTGTGTATCTACTTGTATTATAAAATGTTCATTTTAAACATACATGTTCCAGACTGCTTAATATTTTTTTTTTCCCTGCAGCAACTGTCATGGCAAACAACTTCTTCCACAACTGGAAAAAAAAACCCTTAGCACTTGTTTTTATGGTTCGCATTTGCCAAATAAGTCACATAACTTTGTCAGTGCTATCCAGTTACCTGTTTCTTTATATCTGCATTGAGTATCATATGCATTTGTGCCAAAATATTAGAAGGGGGAGGGGACAAAGCGATAAATCAGTTTCCTATGGAAATCTTTTTTTTAAATTTTTTTTTCCATATACAAAAGACAGAAGCTAGATCTGGCTCTGGGAAGGACAGACTGGGACAGACTTTACAACGGTTTATGTTAAGGCTTTAGTCCTGCAAAGTTTTGTGCTCCCAGATGCGAACGTGAGCAGCCCCACTGAGCTCAGTGGAAGTTTTCCTGCGTGCCGGGTTAAGGTTTGCAGCTTCAGAGCTCCCTGGTAACGGGGTACTGAGGTGTAACAGCGTTTCCAACCCTTGTCGGGAATGTCCGTGTACCTGCCGCTCTGCTCTGTAGAGAGAGGCTTTTCCGATGTGCTTGTTCCTTTGTTTATCGACCCCGCCACCTGGTTTGAAAAAACCAACGCTTTTGGACCGGAGGCATCGGCAAGGCAGGGTACGAGGTGCCCTGGGTTCGGTGGGCACAGGAACAGGTGACCTGAGAGGCTCGTTCCTGGTGTTTGTTTTAGCAGGCAAATGGAGGGATGCTTTAGAGAGTTTTCTTCCAGAAACAAGAAATGACATTTTCTCTATAAAATTTAAATTCTGAGGCAGACTTTCAGTGGTAGATGCGCTTCTGAATGATACAGGCACTTTTGAATATCCTCTTGCAGAATTTTGACTGGAGCTTTCACTGTGTGACACGGCTTGTATCATAGCGCTGGAGGTTTTCTAGGATTTTTTTTTTTTAAAGTTTTTTAGTTAAATCTCTGATTGCATGGTCTTGTGCAATAAGAGTGTCTGTATAAACTAGTATTTTCTAGCCACTTAAAAAGTAGGTCTGTCTGTCATTGTGGATTGATTTGGCATATGCTTTCAGATACAGGTTTCTGATGTAGTTGCAAACAAAAATTCATCCTGACTTTTGTGGAAGTATTTGACTTGCTGCTTTAGTGAGAGAGGGAAAAAAACCTGTTATGTAAAACGGCCCTGGGTTTCCTCCCTGAGTGTCTTTAAGTCATATTTCCTTATTTTAGTGAACAAACTATTTTCGTTGTCCACATAATCATGGAGGAAGTTGGACTCTGTGGTGCATTGTGCCTTAGTAACAAAAATGACATCTTAAATTCCAGTGTCAGAGAGCTCATTACACGTGACGGTGCATGCAGGAACCGGGCCTGAGCCGGAGGCTACAAGCTGGAATGAACCCTAACTTTAATATCAAGTTTGTACACAGAATCGCCTCCTCAGCCAAACTAAGAATTGGACCTGGATTTCCGCTAAGAACCAGATTTATGTCTTCTGCTTGACAAAGGATAATTAATTGCTAACCGTTATTAATAGATGGCTTTTGAAAAAGAGGATTCAGCTGATGCATAAAAATTTTGGTTTATCTCACCTCATCATCCCTTAAGTAAAATGACTTCAAATGGAAAATGTAGGCTGGTCTAGCAGTACAGTTAGATAAAACTGAGAAGATTATCTCTGCTGAAGTATTAATTTCCTCTCCTTTGTTTGCCTTCTCACTAATTCATAAAAGCTTTATGGTTTCTAAAGTTACCTTATAAAGTCAAACGGAAAGTCCTGTATCATGCAACAAATGAAAAAGCAAAGGTTGGGGAAGGGGTGTGATCCAAGGGACGTTACGGCCGACTTTCCTTCTATGTTGCACAGTTGAAGTGGATTGTAGAGATGAAAGCTAGTTCCCCCGTCAGATCTGAATCGTGCTTAATCGCGCCGTTCGTGTGGACACTAACGAAAGGGAAGAGGTAGCATTGGGCTGTAGGCGATTGCAGACAGCGGTGCCCCAGAGGTGCACGCGGCTGCTGCTTGGTTTTACTTTTTTTCTAAAACTTTATTGAAGTAGCTTTGATATGTAGCACAAATGTATGCAATCAGCCATGCCCTAGCTTAGATTACGTATCTGTACTGGAATATCTTCTTGTTTAATGGTAGTCTTGGCTAGTTTTATCAGGATTTCATACATTTTTGTTACTAGTAGAGAGTCACTAGCAGGAACTTTGACTCTTTTTAATTGGTGTAGCCATACACAAGGGCCTGGCTGCTGGCAGATGATATTGATGGCCCTGTGGTTTTAAATGACTGTGGTGATTTTTTTTTTTTAATTATTATTAATGTATTGAACTGAAATGCAGTTTGTATTTTGTGTTAAGCTTGTCTGAGAAGTAATCCAGTGCTGTCCATTTGATTTAATCGCCAGGAATCAGCATGCGTATGTACAAAGATGGAGAAATCTAATCAGAACAAATTTCCCCAAAGCTCTGGCTACCCCTGTGTGTCATGAAAAGGTGAGGGGTGACCTCTGAGAAGGAGTTAAACAAATTCCTTTCCTCTCCCCTTAAGGATCAGCATAGTTCGAACCATGCAGAGGCCTCCTTTGCAGGGTGAAGAATATTCAGGACTCCACCTCAAGCAGCAAGTACAGACACCCGTGCCCTGTGCTACTTACTAAGTGGAAAAGCGCAAGGAGCAAGAAGAACCCAGCTCAGTGAAGGACTTCAGCCATATCACAAAACATCTGTGAGCCTTCCTAGCTCTCTAAGGTACTGGATAGGTAGGAGGAATGGAATTTCACAAATAAGCTGGTAAGCTAGAATGAGAAATAATTAGTCGCTATATAGTAGTTGATCGAGCGGTATGGTTAAGAAGTTCAGTATATGTTTTTAATTATGTACATGCTTTTGTATTTATGTTGTCTTTCTTGAATATTCAGATGAATCAAATATTTAATTTTTAACAGAAAGGGCAATTAAGGACTCAGAGTATTAAATCCTTCCTATGTTCCTTTCTGATGATTGCTAGAAATGAGGCAGTTACTGATGTGAGAACAAGAGACTCACCTCAGAACGGAGCAACAAACCCCAGCGAATAAAACAGGACAAGGAGCCTTTGCCCGCGTTGCTGTTTTATCTTTCAGCAACAAGTCAGGTTCCCAGATGGACCCTTGAATTGTGCTCTTCACGTCTTTCCCGATTTATGAGGCTTTAAAAAGACAATAGTGTATTACTCCATAAACATTTTGGTTCATCTTACGTTTCCTCCAGTACGTGGATACGAGAGGAGTCTGCACCGGTCTCTGCTGCTGAGATGCGCCTAGTTCCCTCTCCCGATGGAGGCAGCCTACTTTCTTCACGCTAGACTGAACTATTCCCCCTTTGATAGATATGTATGAGCATGTTTGCATTAGCATTTAGATTTTCTTAACCTGAGATTGTATCTTAATGGCTGGTGATGTCACCTACATGCTTTAGCTTGTTAAGCATTATTCACCTATTTTGTTACTAAAGGCCTGTACTATGTATGCCCTCTTATTTCATATGTGAAACTGTAAGTTCTATTTTTGACATTTTAATAAACTTTGATTTGAAAACCGAGGCTCATGAGAAAATAAGTATACTGTAAAAATATATTTAAGGCTACAAATTGAAAGCATTTGGAGCTTTGAAGCATAGATAATTCAGATACCCCAGCATCTTTAGGTATGTATAATGAAGGCTGTTCACGGTAATTTGCGTGAGATCTCAGTTACAGGTAAGATCTTCATTCTTCTTACAGTTTGGAGAGTATTATTCAAGAATTTAAAGTCAGATATAAAAAATACTAAAAAAAATTGCAACTAGTTCACAGGATCACAGACTCGATTTGGTTGGAAGAGACCTCTGGGATCATCGAGTCTAACCTTCGCCCTAACACCCCCACGTCAACCAGACCATGGCACTCAGTGCCACGTCCAGGCTTTTCTTAAAGACCTCCAGGGATGGTGACTCCACCGCCTCCCTGGGCAGCCCATCCCAATGCCTAACCACCCTTTCTTTGAAGAA